TGCATGTATGACTAGCTGTACTCTCATCTCTGTAAAAATAGTTGTAATAGCTAACCCAATAAAAGTCAATAAAGTATCGTCACAAGTATGGCCTTTAACAAAAAAAAAAAAAAAAAAAAACAGTAAGAGAATATTTTTTAATAATTTCTTTAAGCTTTTTAAAATGTTATTTACTATAATAAGGTTTGCTCTTTGTGCTCTTGTCTCATTCAAAGCCTAAGAAATACAAAATAAAAGCCCAGAATAGTCTCTCATAAAATGCTTTTATCATGACTTGTCTGGTCTATTCTTATTAAAAAGATGTAGTCTTTTACTTTTTTTAATAATCTTCATTATGCAATAATTTACATCTGTTCTAGTTAGTTTAAAGCCAAGGCTTTGCATATTTAAGCAATAACCAACTAATTGTTATTCTTCATAATTAGTTAAAATATTAGCAGAACCTGGGTAATTTAAAGAACTATTATTTTTAATAGCACATTTTAGAGTTGCTTCGTAAATACTAAATTTTGCTACAATATTTCTTTGAGAAATATTTAAAAAATTTTCAAGTTTTTTAAAGATGCTTTTAATAGCTTTATATTGCATAGACTGACTACTTTGTGGAGACATACTGATTTAATTTAAGATGACTTAAGAGTAAAGAACACATAAATCATTTTTATATAATTATATATAGTATATTAAAATTTTTATTTAAAATTAATATATGCTACTAATAAAACTTTTTTATTTTTTAATTAATTAATAAAAAAAATTATAATATTATAGATAAAATTATTTATTTATATATGCTACTAATAAAACTTTTTTATTTTTTAATTAATTAATAAAAAAAATTTATAATATTATAGATAAAATTATTTATTTATTATAGTAAAAATTTGATGTATTATATTATTTTAAAAAAACATACTTATATATATAACAAAGTTTACTTAGATGGGTTAAAATTTTCTTAGATAGTATAAAAAAGAAGAATTTGATTAGTTAATTTATGTAAACCTATTAGTTAATTTTATTTTATAATTTTATATCTTAATCTTTAAAAATTAATATCTCAGTAAGTTTTTAATCTATTTTAATAATTTTACTATTATTAAAATCAGAAAGACCTACTCTGCAATTTTTATTTAATAATTAAATTAGGTTACTTAATATAATTTTTTATAAAATTAAATATAAAAAAAATTTACTATTAGGTTTATATATAATTTTAAAATACTGCCCTTTACTCTTAAGAATGATAATTAGAATAAAATTATACAAAATAATAAAAATTAGTCATTTGGTTCAATTGTCAATAAAGAAAACTTATTTCAAACTTTTGTACTAACAATTGAACAAGACAAACAATTTATTACAGAAATTAAAACTAATGAATACATCATATTTACAAATTATAAAGAGTTTAAAAACTATCTAATTAATAACAATTTAATTAATCCTTTACTAAAAATTTATTATGATACAAAACATAAATAATTAAACAATATTTTGTTTTGAATAGAGTTTTATATAAGGTTAACATTTTATAACTAGAATAAGAGCATATATTATCATTATATTAATAACATATTGAATCTGTTAAAAGATGTAAATAAATGAAATATTATATTAATTAAAAATTATTTAGAAAAAGTAAATAAATATGTTGAGAAATATAATATTAAATTCTTATAAAGTTAAACTGACCTTGAAAAATATAATAAAAAATATTTAGCATATTAATTTTTTACTTGTTATATAAATTATTTTATTTACTTAAATAAATAAATAAAAAATTATTAGTATAAAATTCCTATTTACCAGTATTAGCAATGTTAACATTTTAGAAATATAACTCTAATTTCAATATCAGTTTCTCAAAAAACAATAAAATATATCCTTATCTTATAAAATATGCACTCAAATATACTTCTATTTCTTTATAGACAGCATAACTTCAGAATCACAAATACAAGTAAGATAAAATATCCAACTTACAGCTAGTGCTGATTTAAAAAATTAATTATTAAATCAATATTTTTGTTGAACAATTTTTTAGCAACTTCAACTTTAAGTTGTAAGTAAAGAATTTATATATTTAAACTGTTTAAATAAATTATATAATAGCCACTAATACAAATAACTATTATAAATAAAACAAACAAAAGAAATAAAAAATTTTAATAAAATAAAATTGTATCTTTAAGCTTTTTGAATTTGTTGTTTGTATCAACATATTCTTGAATAATGGTTTATTGTAAATATTGCAAACTATTATTTTTTTTTTTTTTTTTCCTTTGGCAGCCTTGCCGTAAACCTTTATTAAGATTCTTGTATATAAATTACATATATTTTTAAC